TCAGACGACCTTGGGGCCAGGTCTCCTGCTTCAGACGACCTTGGGGCCAGGTCTCCTGCATCAGACAACCTTAGGGCCAGGTCTCCTGCTTCAGACAACCTTAGGGCCATCTCTCATGCTTCAGATGACTTTAGGACCAGGTGTCCTGCTTCAGACAACCTTGGGGCCAGGACTCCTGCTTCAGATGACCTTGGGGCCAGGTCTCCTGCTTCAGAGGACCTTGGGGCCAGGTCTGTTAGTGTGTGATAAGGAGTCAGCAGCCCCTTTCTGATGCTTAGCCAGGTTACTCAGGTTCATACAGCTGGAGGAAAGGCCTCTTTTGGTGCTTCCTGACCATGAATGTCCTTCAATTTGTAATATTCTTTATACCAAGGGATCAAATTTTGGGGCAAAATTTCCTTAGCCCTTTTAAAGCCATGGGTCCACTTATGTGTAAAATAGTTGAATTATCTCTCTGGTCTCTGGAATTCCTGACACTGGATCAGGTCATACTGAATTAAAATTATTACCAATTATTAGAAGGCCAGAGACAGAGAGAAGTCTAAGCCATAGGTACCAATGTTGAAACAATTTTTCCATATCCCAAAGTTAAAACTGAGACCAAAGTGAAGGCTGACTCCACAACTATCAGATCCCCTCAGCCCAAGTTTCCTGTTGTTCTTTTCTTTCCACACCCTATCCAGGTGATGTTTGTTTTATATAACTGTAGAAATCAAGGTGAGCTTAAAGAAAACAACATATTCATTTCACATCTGGTATTAAAACAAAGCATTCCGTTTGCCTTGGTTGTTACATGTTAATAAATCTTTGCGACTTCATAGCATCTTTGGCTTTGGCCTATATGGTCGAAACAATAAAAAGTCAATAATAGCAATTACTATTGAGTGCTCAGATGAGGCTCCATCTATGCACTTTAGAATTATCATCTAATTCTCTTTTCATATAATACTAACATCATGCCTATTTTACAGATGAAGAAATTGAGCCTCAGAAATGACTGATGGCTTGCCCAAGGCCACACTATTTTAAACATCGTTTTTATTTTTTTTATTTATTTATTTTGAGACAGAGTCTCAAGCTGTCCCCCTGGGTAGAGTGCCATGGCTTCACTGCTCACAGCAACCTCCAACTCCTGGGCTCAAGCGAGTCTCCTGCCTCCGCCTCCCAAGTAGCTGGGACCACAGGCGCCCACCACAACGCCCAGCTATTTTTTGGTTGCAGCCATTATTGTTGTTTGGCGGGCTCGGGCTGGATTCAAACCCGCCACCTTAGGTGTATGTGGCTGGCGCCTTAGCCGCTTGAGCCACAGGTGCCAAGCCTAAACATCATTTTTATTGCTTTTTCAAAGTAAGTGATCTTAATTTTATAGCTCAAAGTGCTTTATAAACAAGCACACACCAGTTTATTTCTCTCATTTAAGTGTTGTGAAAGCTACATTTGTGGTTATAAGTGACCTCTACTTGGCTACAATGAGGGTGAAAGTCACACCACTGGTTAATCGGATGGTGCGTGACTGTGCAGACGGCGTTACTTGTAATCCCGACAGAATGAGTGCACAGGGTGTATTTGTATCACATAACTACAGTGGAATTCAGACAAAGTAACACACATATATCCATTCATCAGTGCTGCAGGTGCGACATGGACAGACCTCGCAGACAGGACGCTGTGTGAGAGAGGCTGGACTAAGAGCATCTCCTGCAGCATTTCAGTTACATAAGGTTGAAAAGCAGGCAAACCTCACCCTTGGTGATGTTAGAAAGGACGGCAGTTACCCTTGGGTAGGACGTGGACCAGAGCGGACACAGGGACCCTTTTGGGAAGTGGAGATGTTCTATTTCTGGACCTGGGTGGTGGCTACCTGGGTGTACACATGTGCAAAAATTTGCCCAGCGACACTTGAGATTTATGCACTTTATGGATGTATGTTAAACTGCAATAAATACATGTAAATCAGAAAAACAGAAAGCTGAAGATTTTCACCTTGAACAGCAAGGGTGACTTAGTTTTTGAGACTGGTCACCTCTGGGGTATTAATACAAATCATCTCCAAAAGGCTCTGAGCTGTTCCTGGGGAATGAAGTTCATTACCAGCAAGTTGCCCAGGCTCCCTGGGGCCAGCCATCCCTGCTGTCAGGGAGAGGGAGGGGCACGGGCCTGCGCACAGTGAACTCCACCCTTAGGCATAAATGGGCCTGTGGAAATCTGTAAGGAGGGTTGAAACCTATGACTAATTGCCAAGTGAGCAGCCCATTTTCTTAAAACAAAATGAAAAAGCAAGTGCTAGTGCTAGATATTTTTCTAGTACTTTTTTTTTAAGACCAGAATTTAAAAATAAAAAAGATTGGTCTCTGTATTCTCTGCCAGAGTAAAAAAGATTCTAGTCTTTATTCCTACCCTC